TTGTAAGGGTGGTCCTAATAACTAAACACCCTAATAAAACTCTAGAGGTGTATTAGATGAAAAAACCTTCGATTAAAGTTAAGTATGAATTCAAAGATTGATTATTCCACTTTATAATGACTTGGTAGCATTAAGTGACCATAAAATTGAGCAATTCATGCTTTAATATAATCCATTAAATTAATGGCATGGGCTAATTATATTATTGAACTTTCTAGCCCTTCCTTTTAAGCTTGTATTAGATTTTTGAAAAGTAAGTTAAATTCTTTAGGGTAACAAAAAAACTATTGATCATAAATTTGAAGTGAAAATATATTATTGTCCTATTCATAATAGGCTTATGAGCTCTACATGCACCTTGTAGAGAAGCAATAGTAACTCTGTGGAGCATATCCTTGCCAATGAAAAGGGGAGTGATTTGATACATAATTTATAAATTATAAAAAAAAATTACATGCATTAATGAATATCATATTTTCAACATTAAATTTAAAAATTCGGCCTAATACCTATTTTTAATTTTCTAAGTAACTTAAAATTATAATAATAAAATTCAACATTATTTTAAATAACAACTATAATATCTGAATGCCACTCAAAAGAGTAAAACAAAATACCAAAAAAAAAGAAAAAAAAAATTTATAGGTTTTGCTTGACGAATCTAAACTTCGCGTGATTGGCATGAAAATAGCTAGATCAAGAAAGGGGATATATACTCTCAACATAAATAGATTTTAGACTGATTAAACGAAACTAAGATATTTGGATCCAAATTTGTAAACACAACAATAGATTCTTTAAAAAAAATAGAATTAAGAAAGATACAACTCCTATAGGCAAATGAAGGTACCAACAATTAATCTATCTATTCCACCCTAAATTTGATAGTTATTTTCTTTTGTTAGTGATATTAGTCATTAAATGAAAAACACTATAAAAGATCATCTTGGTGTTGAATATATATGCTAAGATATCTTTTCAAATACTTGAAACAGAGCTATTCTTCAAAAGTAGACCAAATCTTCACTAATTATGACTAGACAAGATATGTAGGTAATCATACATTTGATCTTTTTATTGCTCATTTAGGTGGAAAATTTAAATTATATAGAGAAGCAAAAAAACAATCTATTATTGCTCAAAGCAATGGAGAAACATAAGTTAGGGATATACCTCATGAAATTTGTCAAGGTATATGATTTAGAGTCCACAAAAATGCCAAAATTTCTACTAAAAGACTAGTAATATTAATTAAGGCTTTGTTTGGGATTGTTTTCTTACTGCTTCTTAAAATAATTTTTTAGTTAAAAATTTTTAATTTTTGTACTTTAAAGTTATTTTAAGAAGCAATAAGAAAGCCGTCCCAAACGCAGCCTAAGATATAAAAATTAAGCTACTATCACCCTTGCTTAAAAAAAATAAAAAACTTGTCCACAATGACAGGACTAAATACATAATGATTAACAAACACTTTATAAAGGAGAAGATTACTCCATCACAATTTCAGCAAAATTGAAATGAGGATAAGTGCGAAAATCTTGAAAACAACACATTAATCTGATAATCTCTACTCCTATAATCAAACAGCAAGCCGACCTCATGCCAGCACCCACTTCCAGCTAACTCCAGCACTGGTTCAAGTTATAAATCGCCCGTCAAATAGCCGAGCTATGCAGCTCATCTTGATCTGTTGGTTATGAGCTTTGGCTACCAACCAAAAGTTCTTAGATTCAAGTCTTGTGTGTGACTTTACCTTAATTGACATAAATGTCCAAAAATAAATAAATAATAAAACTTTGTTGTGTCCTACCTTCAAGCAACCTTCTCCATGAAGAGATTATTCTGTGCAATCACCGAACAACATTCAGAGGCGAATCATAAAGCGACACATCATTTTTTTGCTATGTACAACTGATGTGTACCGCTCGGTACCGGATGATGTGACGCGCTATGATTCGCCTCTAAATCATTCAGTGACCGCATAAATAATTTCTCTCATCCATGCCAGTGATAATGTCCAACTACCACCTCCTGCCATCCTTAGCTATAGATTTTCCAAGTGCATAGTCAATTTTTTATGAATTACACTCATCAAATTCTTTATTATAATTGATCAATTGTATTTTCGTGTATGCTTTTCTCTTCCTCTTTAGAACCACTTAAGCTTCATTTGAAAACTTTCTTACTTTTTTTTTATAAAAAATTTCTTTAAAATGAAAATTTTTTTAGCTAAAAAAAATCAGTAAAAAAGCTATCACAAACAAAATTTTTATAGCTAATTTGTGCATCTAATTTATTTCTAAATCTAAGCTCACTTATTTAGTTATATTTCTCAAATAAATATTGTTCATCTTTTTCCCATTTGAATAAGAAAATTAGATTAAAAATATCGCTGAAAGAGTAATCATGAAAGAAAAGTCCAAGTAGTATTTTTCTCTTGAATTTTCTAACACGTTGGGCTAAAAAATCAAGAAACTTCTTTCAAAATGAAGAAAGTATTATTTCCCACCGCTTCCATTTTTCTTTGATCGACCATGTTAAGAAACACCAGAGATCAATAAAAGTCACTAATCTATGTATTTATTAAAGAGTAAAGATCAACCTAAGTATTTTAAATTATAGAACAGTCTATTGTTTTATATTTCTACATTATCATAGGCTTTATTTTGAACAGTTTTGATCTCTGTTTTTTTATTATTTCAAATATATATATATACAAAACAATGAGAAAAATGACCTAAATGAAGGAGAAAATAATTACATGTAGATTCTGAAGGCATCCAAACTCCAATAAAATTAAGTCATGTGACATGTGACTTGCACATAGTATCATACAAAAAATTTTTTATGCGGTCACCGAATGTCGTTCGAAAGTGAATTAAGATGTGTCTCATCAATTTGTTTTGTACTGCAGTTATGTACCGAATGATATGACGCATCCTGATTCACTTCCGAACAGTCCGATGACCATACAAAGTAATTTCTTATATTATACACACCTATATACAAATTATACACAATGAGTACAAGCCACATGGCTTGATTTCATTGGAATTCGAACGACAGTTATATCCAAACTCCGCACATGATAATTTCTCCCAACGAAGTCATAGATTTCAAATATCTCTACCACCTTATATTCTCAAGTCTCAATAATAATAATAATAATAATAAAATATTGGTTCAAATTTGCTAGTCTCATGGCTGCGTTAATAATAGGATTAATTATTCTGTGCAAACGCCAAACACCATCCGGAGACCAATCAAAATGCGCCACGCACCCCTTCACTCAGTATTGATGACTGATGACTTGACACATTCTAGTTGGTCTTCGGACACGTGTCCGGCCTCCGCACAAAATAACTTCTCCAATATTAGACAGCTAATTGGTCTAAGACCGCTTCGCCAAAAATAATTAAAATTCCTGCCTTTCGAATAATAAAAGAATAGTCCCGCACATGACCAACAACAGACCACAATTTGCGAACCCAGTAAACACCATAAGAGCTTTAGATGTGAATTTGGCTGAGGATTACTCCTTTAATAAAATAAAAAGGATTGTGCACAGATAAATAATTACACCAATTCCAATCAACAGAGATTTATACAATCTATAGAGAACTGATGTAAATTACATGCTCATGGCCCTAGAAGAGATTTGTGTCTCCCCCTCACCATCTCCTTCTGAAACATCTGAAGCCTGCAGAGAAAACCCACTTAATTTTTCTTCACAATGAACCAGTTTATAAAGATCTGCAGCATTACATGCGTTTTTAACTCTTTTAATGGCCATGATGAAAGTTTTTTTCTGCTCATAGGCTGCCATATTAAAGGACTTACCTTATTCTCAGAAAGATAACGATTCAAGGCGCCGTCCCCTCGAAGAATTTTAGCACCGCAACCTGCGCTTTCAATGGAGCCAACGGCATCCTCATCGACCACAACAGCGTCTATTCGCTCATCCCCGGTCTTTTTATCTGGAATCTGCAAGAAATTTTAAGAATCAAATGAAACTCAAGTGCATTGCACTTAGGTTTCATTTGGGACGACTTTTTTACTGCTTCTTAAAATGACTTTTTTGTAGAATTTTTTTTTTATACTAGAAAGTCGCTTTAAGAAGCAGGAAAAAAGCAGTCCCAAATGAAGCCTTAATTGCCATTAAAAAAAGAGAACTCAAATATTGCTTTTTGCAATCAACTAGGAAATTAATTCCTCCAGTGTGCTAGTTTGAAAAGATTCTCTGGGCAGACTTTAAACCAACAAGGATCCAATGTTAGTAAGGAATTTTCCAGTTTATTGAAAATCATATACTAAAAGCACAAAGGGAAGATATTCCCATTTCTTCAGCGATGCATATCTCAAAATTTACAGCCAAGATGTGTGCGATGAGGTAAGTAATTAAAAAAAAAAAGACTATTTTTCATTTTAGTTATTTAAGTGTCTTTTTAGTAGTATGCTAAAATATTAGAAATAATCTTCTTTCACTAAATTTAAATAAAAATTTGACTCTTAACAGGAAAATTGATAGTATAGTTTTCATGATTCTGAATTGTTATATGCATTATTTCTAATGAAAAACTACAATTGAATTATCATCTGCATACATTTCTTTGGAATTTCGGTTTTCATCTAAGATAACAAAATGTCGTAAAAGTTAAGAATTTCAGTTACAAAATGGAGTTGCATGATTTTGTGGATTTATTTGTCAATCTATATTAGCAACCCTATATTGAAAGACATCTACATCATACAGGCTACATATTTTTATCATTAAACAAGAAAAAAAAGGGGAAAATTTAACGCATATGAACACAAAAACGGTTGAAAAAAATACCTCATACATTGCTTCCGTGAGAATATTCTCCATGATACTTCTTAGACCTCTTGCACCAGTATTTTTGGACATTGCCTTTTTTGCAATTAGCCTAAGTGCTGTTTCTGTAAAATGCAATTTAACCTGGAAAAGAAGTTGCCTAATAAGGAAAGGAAAATATTCACATGAAACAGTAGAGCTATTATATAAATCTACAATCAGCTGGAGTAGAAGGCTTGTTTACAGTGTTCATGCCAAACATTTTTTTGTATTGTTTGCCAAGAGCATTCTTGGGTTCTGTCAAGACCTGAAAGAGATGACATATTATGCACGGGTTCAATATGGGGCGATCTCAGTAGAAACTAGTTATTAAACATTCACAGAACATTCATATATATGTATTAACACACCTATATTAATATTCTAATTTTTAGCACACGTTTATTCTAATTTATAATGTTCTCCAACTAGAAGACAACCTTAAAATGTAGCATCATAACTTAGGTACATGGAAACTCCAACTTAAATAACTTATGTTGCACCAATATGGATACGGCGACACAGATACGACACGATATGGATACGGGACACGTCAATTCTTAAAATATAGGATACGGATACGGCACAGACTCGGCATTATAATTTATAAATCATATATAAAAATTAAGAAAGCAATCAAAGCATAATATTTGAAATTACAAAAAAAAAAAAAGTAACATCATCTGTAGCCTTGTAGCTTATAATATCAAAATAAAAGTAAGCATTAAATGTCTAGTACAACAACAAAAGCATAAACATAATTTGTCTAGCACATGAAGTTTCAACTGTTCAATAGAAGGAATGATATGATTAGCTTCCTCAGTGGTTTGTCTTTGAACTTCTATATCATTTTCAATAAATATCATAGCTTCTGATTCAGGCTCATCAAGTGAAAGATTATCAATTTCTAATATTTTCATATCATCAAGAGACTCAAATCCATCTCGAAAATGAGAGAACATCGCTCCGCTTGCAACCGCGGAAGTAAATACAACGCGTTCTTTTTCGTTTTTTTTTCAACTGACACGCTTATCGGATACACATGTCCTTTTAAAATTAAACAGTATTTTAATTGGATACGGCAAAGCTTGCCGTATCGGTGCGGCAGTGCCGTATCGGTGCGGCGGTGCCGTATCGAAGGCGTATCCATGTATCAGTGTATCGGATACAGCACGCCTTCATAAATAGGTGTATTGGCGCAACATAGTAAATAACTAAAAAGCTCATATCTAACCTACCCTCTTCTGATGCAATAAAATTCCCCAACCACTTTTTGAAGAAACTGACTCACAAAAATTGTATACAAAATCTTTTGTTACTTAAAGAATGGATTATCAACAGAATTGGAGTTAATTTCTAAGCATCAAACAATATTGATGACCTGAACAAGTTGGTCCTCATTTAGAGCCGACAAGCTAACCAATATTGGAAAGCGTCCAACAAATTCAGGAATAAGGCCATATGCAATAAGATCGCTGCTTTCAACCTGCAAGAACCCTTTCAGAATTAAACAACCTAAGTCATGCAAGAGAAAAAAGAAAATGATTTTTATACGTTTCATGTTCATACCGGACTGGTCCTCTATCCTTACCGATTCTAACAAGGCTGATGTCACAATAGCGTTAGATATTCTACCGGTTCTCATATTTGCACGAACTGGTGCTCCAAAGCCTATGGAAGAATCTTGCCGTCTGTTGGACACTGAAAAGGTCAGCCAACCTTAAATCCCAATCCAAATCAAATGAGTGATTGAAGAATAATCCCAAAAAACAGAAAACAGTTTTACCTCTCTGATATAGTCTTTTCTAGATCAATAAAAGCTCCGCCACATATAAAAAGAATATCTTTTGTGTCAATCTGCAAAAGGAAGAAATTAATATATAAATTATTGTCTTCAAAATCATGATAAAGTACCTCAAGGGTATCCAAAAACACGTGTATGGTAAGCCAGACCCAAAGTATGATGTTCTTATTTGATTGTATTCAGCTTTTATAATTAGCTAGAATTTTACTTCAGCTTTGTTTGGGACGGCTTTTTTACCGCTTCTTAAAACAGCTTTCTAGTAAAAAAATAAAACTGTTATACTAAAAACCAGCTTTAAGAAGCAGTAAGAAAGTAATCGTAAACGAAGCCTTAGTTTTTACAATTGTATTTAAAAAAAAACAATCAGAAATTCAAAAATGGGTCAAATTCAAAAATGCCTTCACAACCTAGTATGTTACTGCAGAAATCTAGGATGAAGCAAAACATCTTTTTTTCAGCTTGCTCACTCCAGCAATAACATACAAATTCAACTAAGACAAAAAGTTAAGGCATATAAGTAGACATTATGTTCAGAAAGCAAATAAACAATGTCCATAATACAAGACTCAAATCTTCTAAATGATCAAGAAAGACTATTTTTTTAGGGAGCCTTATGGTACCTGTATATTGTCACCACGGGGATGTTTGCGTGCTCCCTTCTCAGGAACATTTACTATCTACAGCAAAATACATGACTTAGTTCCAGTTGGAAAGAAGAATCAAAATCTTCTAAATGAGTGCATATAAGTAGACATTATGTTCAGAAAGCAAATAAACAATGTCCATAATACAAGACTCAAATCTTCTAAATGATCAAGAAAGACTATTTTTTTAGGGAGCCTTATGGTACCTGTATATTGTCACCACGGGGATGTTTGCGTGCTCCCTTCTCAGGAACATTTACTATCTACAGCAAAATACATGACTTAGTTCCAGTTGGAAAGAAGAATCAAAATAATTTTCTATTGTGTTTGCATATAAGACATTATTCAGCATAAACATTAACCACAAAAGGCAGCAGGAAGCGTAATCAGCAAGAGGAATTTAAGATTGATGAGTTTTTTGCTAGATACTATTAATCACAAAAGGCAGCAGGAAGATCAAGGAGTTGTTCAGCAAGTCAATTCAAGGTTGCCGAGCTTTTTGCGAGGCAAT